TAGGGCACGGAATTCTGCCGTGCCAGTCGTATTAATCCTACTCGTCTTTAGGGATTTATCGTGTTAACTGCCTTTAATGTTCATCCAAAAAACACCACATGAATGGTTGTAGCTGAAGGACTCGATAAGACCCGAACTCACACCCCGCACTTTCCAGGCAAGTGCGCTATCCGCTATGCCACCGAGGACGCCTTTTATCTTCTCTGCACGATGGCTTCAGTGCCAAACACCGTTAAACCAGCGGCACAGTCTGGTTTATAAGGAGGGGCATTATCTAGTTCACTTTAGTTGGTGAGATGTGTAGATTCTTGTCTCGTTGCAAAGGAAACTCATGCTAGTGCACACCTTTGAAGAAGTTTACGGGCCTTTGAAGAAGGTGTCGGCACTGATCTGTGGGAACCAACAATACGTCCCCACCAAGCCGAACTAGGCCGAAATGGCTTCGAACAGTAGCTACCGTAATAAACGAAAAATAATGTGAACGTTTCGATAAATGTTCATAATGCTTCACCGAATGACCTCACCGATGACTTGAAATTATCTGTGAAAGGCCCTATGCGGATTATGTGACTTACTCCACGTCCATCCTGAGAAATTCAGTGGAAGCAGAACGGTGGCTCATGCCTGATCCCTTTCAAGTGTTTTCGTGACCTACCTGTCCACGTCGTCACCGGCGTGCAGTAATGGGTAGAGGGACACTGTCTGTTCGTTGTACATGCTCGTGCTGCTCCATTCTGCTCCTTCCATACCTAAGAAAAAATATTTTGGACATGTGCTCACCGGCTAGAGCATCGTGATGCGTGAAAAGGTGGTATCGCTACCACCCCTACTCTCCCACCGAATTTACTCATCTGGTACCACCCCCATCCCAATCCTACCAACATTTTTCTGATTTCCCCTACCACTCTTTGACCTCTTGAGCTGGGCAGAGGGACGCAGCCAGGTAAGGGTTGGGGAGGTATAGGTAAGGGTAAGGATTGGGCGCACAGAAGATGGGAAAAACGGAGAAAAACTTGTATTCTCTCGTGTCTCGACAAAATTTTTTAGGGCAAGTAGGACCCCACTTCCCAGCAACCAACTACGACAAGGCCCCCTCCTCTACCCCATGGGACTCTCCAACGATGCTGTACCCTGGGAGTCAATTGACAAAATTCAGTTTTCTTTTGTTCCACGATATTAACGCCGTCAAGACGATGAGATGTCAACGAGCGCTGAGTTGGTGCGAGCTGAGATGGGCCCGGTACAGAAAGGTACCGACAAAAACGAACAAACATCCGCTCGCACTCTCTTCTCCTCATTAGTCAATAGAGCGCAGATTAGCTGCGGGTCAGAGCGGCGAAGCTTCGTACGTGGACAAACATGACCTGCGCTAGTCAGTGTCCTTCCGCGAAAGACTGCGAGCAATTTCTGGTGATCAGGTGATGCCCACAGGACCCATAACCGTAGCTAAACTATTAGGATTTTCCTGTACCCGGATCATGTTATCAATGATTAAGGGTGGTGTTTCACTTGGTGGAGGGCAACGCTCGTTGTAAAAGAGATCACTATCCTGGGGGACAATAAGGTCCCGAATGACCAAGGAAATGCACCCAGGAGAGGAATAATCTTCAGAGAGCAATAATTTATATCTCTGCCTAACTCCTTCCCTGACATTCCCCAAGAAGCTCAGAGATAATGAAAGTGCACCGACCTCTCCTCCATCTGGGCAGGATTCCACTCTACAGTAATCCTTGCAATCCTGCTGTGTAGCAAAGTTATTCGAGTTGCCATCACATCCATTGAATGAGTATGTCTGGCAGGTTCGTGTCGTAGAATCGTAGTACCATCGAGTAACTGCTGGACCACATGACGCTCCAGATTTGTAGGACAACGAGCAGGTGTATGCTGCAATAGTTCCGCGTATTTTTTCGGTATATTTATAGAATGTGTAGTGATGGGACCGACTCCGCCCAAAGGATCGGCGTGGATCGTATCTTGGAACTAAAGTATTTCAACGTCCAAAGACACACTATCCACCGCAAATATTCTCTGGAAAACCTCCCCATAGCCGCCTTGCCCCCGTTGAGTTCCAGGCATATCTCTACGGCCATCTTGCCGCAATGGAGACTTATTGTTTTCGCTTGAGCACCTGCGCATGGAATGACCATATTTTACACTTCAAACTGGTCACAAGTGTGAAGCCAGGCGTGCCTGACCTTTTGCCCCACGGCCTTTCCCCTTCCTCATGGGTGCACCCGCCCCCACCGGAAATAAGGAAGAGGTACGTAGTGAGGCTCACTATCCAATATCAATTTTATCTGAGAAGCAGCCGCAAATTCAATTCTTTCCGTCGAAAATGTCTCAGAAAGTCAATGGCGTGGCCGCATATCAATTGCCGAGTATTCAACGCTACGGAGTTGTGGGTACAATCAATACCTCGGATTATAGCAGACTGTGTGCCTTCCCACACATCCCCTATTTGCTCTTTCTTCTCTCCTGCTCGTGCGCGGCTGTCTTAGCCCACTCTCGGACTAACCCGTTTGAGCTTTGGCCACGTGGCCTTGTCGGTAGGACCTCTACAGGGATGCTAGTGCTGTCAGGGCCATGTGGTTCAAAGGTCTTTTTGAACTCCATCGAAATAGACTATAACCTTATTCACCCTCTTTTCATTTCTAGAGTTACAAAAAGAAGAGAGGGGGTGTCCGAGCCCTCCAAAATCAGTGATGGCGCAGCTCTACTAAATTTCATGGCTGGTCACCCCATCGGCTTCGACAAACACGGGAAATTTTCGCCGTCGGGAGATATGCGCTGGATTCCAATATCTTCACGGCTCCAGCCTTCCTTTCTGTGCATTTCAAGCAAGAAAGTTTCGGCGCAGATCGGCTTAGGGGTAGAGGGGTAGGATTAGGACTTTCGCTAGTTCATTTTCTTGTTCCATGTTAACTATCGGGTCACTTTGCTGAGACGTGTAAACTCTTGTGGAGTTGTGAGCTGAGCAATTGAGCCATCTTGTTACCAGGAATTCACAGGTCTTCACAAGGTATACTGTACAAGCTTCACCAAATGAAATTTCATGCCCCTACCAAGCGGATCCGCTTCCAATATTCTTATTTTTCATGGAAAAGGCAAAAAATTACCTTGTGTAGGACAGCACCCATAGGTAGTACCCGTCATAGTAACAGTAGTGATTGGCTGGACAAGTGGTCGATGCAGCCGTGGTACCACCGCAAATAATGAAGTTACCGTTTGAATCGGTAAGTGCTGTGCCTTGTATACATTGGGGTTCACCTGAAAAATGCTTTTCACTCCATTCACCCGAGAACTTTTTGAGAAATATCGTCAAAAGGTACTTCTGGCATCGCGACAGTAGTCCTGACACTCTTTGTACGTCTCAAAGTTGTTCGCATTTCCTTGACATCCCGAATAGATGAACTCTTCACAGTTACCGGTCTTGGCGTTGAACCACCATCGGTTCGAGTACGTTCCGCAGTTACCCTGCAATAGTGCTCGTTAGGTGATTGCTGCGCTGTGCGGT